TTATTTTATTTGAATTTTCAAAGCTGTTGTTGATCCGCCACTGTTGTGCCTAAAATAGCAGCACACTACAAAAAATTATTACGGTCAACATTTCCCCACATTAAACATGTAAGTTTTAATGTTGCACGGTACTAAAGTGCGTTTATTTGTACAACTGCCCATATACGCAGGTGCATTGTGAGTAAATATAGACGAAAATTAGTTTTTTTTCTGGGAAAATTACTTATGCATAATGGACCGTCCGAACTAACAAGCTTAGCAATTATTGTAATTGTTTATCAAAGTAATGGCACGTAGCAGTTTAAACGTTTTAATTGTCGGGTTATGAAAATACACTGAAAAAACTATTTAACTTTAATAAGAAAGGAAATAACAAACTAATTTTAAGGTACCGCAACTGTTTCAAAAGTTTTAAAGTTGATTTTTTGTTCCCCTTATTCTGCACTTTGACGTCTTTTTGAGATTGGGTAAAAACGATATTTTCTTGGGGCATTTTTGCTCTAAACCAGGTGTTCTCCTAGTGTATGTGCCTGAAAATAATTATTCAAAATATCTACCAATAAATGGCTGGATGGAATGGAGTATCGCGCCTTATAAGCATGACTAGAGCGATATTATAAAAATTTTATTTTTAGTGTTTATTTAAGTCGCGAATCAACATACCAGCCGAATGCAAAGCAGTATAAGTCTTAGGTACAAGGAAGGTTAAGCAAACATTGAAGATAAAACAATGTTGAAACATGCGGCAGACTACATTTCGTGTAATCCAAATATTGTGCACAATCTCTACTTCAATACCTAACAATGAAGCCGGATCGCTAAAGTTCAGTAAATATGTGATGTGCGCGTAGCTTTTTGGACAAATTTGAACTACCGTTCTCGGGACTTTGAATTTAGTGTTAGTTTTGCAGTATTGTGCTAATTTGTTGTCTTGCTGACACTCGAAAGTCGCGATTGGATAGCGGTGAACACGGCAAGAAATGGGCCGCAAAAACGTGCTTACAAAGGAGGACATTTGGAACATTAGAGAGGTAAATGTGGAGCTGCTTCAATAAAAGCATCCGATTTCAATTTCTTAATCCCCAATGGAACCAGTTGATGCTGAATTATTTAGGACTTTGTTTGAAAAATCGAAATTTATTGTATATGTGTTGGAGGCATTGTTTGGGATAAGGTTTCCAATCACAGTTGGCACGTGATCGCATATACAGTTTCAGAATAGCATTATTTATGGCTATGACCCAATTTTCTTCCGCATTTTCCGGCATGGTTTTATTTCGAGATCGTCGATTTTCGATGAAAAATGAGACGATTCTTCCCGATTTCCAATCCTTCTGGTTTGGTAAAAAAACGTAAATATATTTACGAAGAAATGGCGTTAACGATTCATCGTTGAACTAAGTTGTTAATTTTGGAAAATTTGTATTCAATCTATTATACTTTTTTTCGTTTGGAACCAGATTATTACTGTTCACATGAGTTATTCGAAAATTTCATAGTTAATACAGTGAGTACATATTCGCTTCGCTTCTCCATTAAAATCAGACAGAATACTGGTGAATGTTTGTATTGAGTCTCATCAACGGTTTCACTTCCTCAATTTCTAATAGACTTATTTGGCATTTCCTCGATTCTCTTATCTCCAAAATGCAAAAATAAGCTCGCTCAATGTTAACATCGACCAAGGTCGGAAGAAATTTCCATATTAATATAAAAATACATTACATCTCGAAACACATTACATCACGCCTATAAAAACACTAATGGCGAATTATTGCCGTTTTAATTTGCTAATCGCCAAAGCGAGCATAACCGACTGTAATTTTACGTAATAACCTAATTAAAATTAAGCAACTGAAGTTAGGATCATTTTTCATAGACGGACTTTAACTTCCAGTATTATCAAACACAGTTGGAAGATCGCGAAACTTACTAAAACAGGTTTAATAAAAAATAGAAAAATGGCATGTAGATTAGCTAGAATTTTAACATTTTAAGTAAATTAATAATTAAAATTCAGAACGTCCGTGGTCATTAATTCACAAAACTGCGAAACGCCATTGAATTTCAATTAGGCGAATTGAATAAATAAGCTTTAGGTTGCTTGGAACGGAACGTGATACTTGTGTGTATGTTTCGTCTCAGATTTTCCCGATGTTCCAAATTTCGAACATAAATATAAGTAAATTCTAATAAAACGTAATGCTCGCAATATTATTCTTGTAAACATAATTTTATGGCATTACACAATGCTTAGTTACACAACGCTTTAAGCGAAAGGCATTTGGCTAATTAGAACACTTCCAAATGTTTGCCCAGTTTAAAACCATTATTATATATTAACATGAAGGCTCAAGGAACTTTTAACAAATTGACAAAATCAAAAATTACCATCTGTATCAGAATTCCGATGTTTCGCACATAATATTACGATCCTGTTTAAGTTTGGTCACGTTTCGAGGAATCTACATTTGTTTTTTTCCACGTTAAATACGCGAAACGTGTTCCAGAAGCTCACTTTTGCCGACAAAGGTATTCGAGAATCGCAGCTCTATTAAGTCATATTTTTCTTGGGCTTAAGTCGGAAAGTTTAATCTCGTGTCTGCTGGGTTAGGTCTTCATTCAATGTTGGCAAAAAAAACAGGCTGTTTTCTGCGCGTCTCTGTAGGCTTTTCAACGTGTTGATTTTGGGACAATGTTTGCATAAACGTTTGGAGAACCATATTTTCTCACATTCTGTTAACTGTTAACACAAGTAGTTAAGTGGAATTTTTGTTCAAAATTTGTTCCGGAAGCACAATTTTTTTGATGTTGAAGCATTTGTTAATAAATTAAACTCGGGTATTTCAATATGCTTGCGTGTTTTTGACTACAAATTTAATGAACGGTTGTTATTAATTGCCGGTTAGACAAAGTGATAAATTGCATTATATGGCCGTTAAAAATGATAAAATAAATTAATGAAATTCGTGGCGGACAACATAATTCTTCAGCAAAACTAGCACATTTCCAGACATGATCAAAAATGGGCAGCAGTAAAATCAGCAGATATTGAAACCGAAGCACCAAAGAGTTCTAACACAGTCAACAATTTGTTGATAAAAACTAGCAAAATCCTCTTCCCATGATCTCGCCTTGAGACAAAGAGCGTTTATTGTGCTACCAGCAAATTTATCTTGCAAAAGCTGCACATGTTTCTTCAGTGCAGACACTTTTTTTGTGGGTGTTTCAATCGGAACTGTTATTTGCGATATGTAAACAAGATAAAAGGCAATTTAATACAGGCATTGTCGTAGTTTTGCATGGGTGTGATTTTATCGAATCAGTTGTGTTTGTATGAAACGCAATTGAGAGATCTAACAGCTGCGCTTAATAAAGTTCATTTTTTCATCAAGAAAATGTTCCTGCTAGTCATCGCCAGGTCATACAGGGTTTTTCATAACAGATTTTCTTCGATGCGTTCACCGTTTTTAGCGTTCGCCTAAATAATTTGTGATGGCCTTTCTCACTCTCAAAGACTTTCAAATAAATCCGAGTCAATATTTGTGAGTTAACGTAAATCATTTGTGCGTATTTTCTTAATGTTTTACGCTCATATTTCACCAATGTATATTGTGGCAAAGCCTTGACTGTATAAGCAACCCTGCACTTGAAAAGCAAATGAAGGCGTTTGCAAATTTGCTTACCTCCTTAGTGCATTCGTAGGTGATTAACGATTAAAACAATCAACCAAATGTTTAGATAACTTGGTTTAGCTTAGTATTAATATGCATTGTTTTGGTTAAACGTTGCAGGATTAAACAGTAATCTATCTACTAACTGCTACCGATTTTTCCACACACAATATTAAAAAGCGTTGATTGATTTTCAAGAGCTTTTTGCGTATTTCGCTCCAAAAATGTTTAATTTTTTAAGGCTTTCATTGCGCATTGGTAAAGAGGGTTTTAACTTTTAGATAAAGAACGAATTATTCATGAATCGTAATCAGCAAACCGATTTTCTTTATGGGGAGACAAGAACACTCGATCAATTCGTTAATAAAAGGCAAAAGGACATTCATATTCGGGGCAAAATGGCCCACAAAAAAGTTTTCAAATTTTCAATCCTCCTCAATCGTATAGAACTGATTAACAATGTTGTATATTTCGGTTCAGCTTTCAATCGAATTGTTTACTCTGCTCTTCGCCAAATTGTGCGTAACTTATTGAGATTTGTCCACTGTAAACGAATTTATAGCAACTCTAATTAAATGTCTTGCACAGAATCAGGACAGATGTTCAATAGGCATAAATTTCAAGTGATTGTTGTGCATTGTCCTTTCCAGTGGGTCAAGTCATAAACAATTATGAGAGTTTATCTCTGACATGCCGTTTAATTTTACCGAAGCCGAAAAAGCAAATTGGACGCGATATGATATTGTGTATTATCTCCGGACGGCGGGTCAGCAAAGTCACTGAATTTAATGAGGACCTCTATACTGGGTATTGTAATTACTCGGTTTCATTTTTTCGAAAGAGCACTAAAGAGCCGAAGTATTTGCAAAAAACACCCGGCAAACTACTGCAATCTCAAACTGTAAAACCCACTTGTTTGCTCTTTATTTTGTCGGTTTACGGTTGCTTGTTTTGTATGCTCAAATGTTTGGTAACTTGACAAGACAGCTTAAATAAATAAATTTGAATGCAAATCAACGGAAAATAAGCTGCAACTCCTTGAAAGTAACTGGAAAACATACACATCAAATTATGCAAATGCAAATCGTCCACTATGAGAATATGCGTAAAGTAGGAGGTTGTTGTTAACAGTTGAAAGCACAGGAGTGGCCGAATGTGCCATGTGACATTTTTTTAAATTGTTGTTTTCAATGTAAATATCAATGTTTTGACTTCATTCGGCTGAGCATACAGAGTTTATTGATGAGGAGAATTTTTATTTCACGTTTACGTTTCTATTTGTTGAATTTTTCTGTTTTCGTCAATTGAGTTTTAAAATGTTTTCAGGAAGCGGCGCAAAGATACACTGACACCAGCTGGCGGATATTTAGGCAAAGTCAAAAAAAATGTTTAATTGCCCAGCAGCCGAATCCTGCACCCGAAATCGAACCACATAAAACGTCCGTTTACGACATTTCCACATCGAGTTCGGAAAATAATAACGAAAAGTCGACCAGCTTTGAAACCACCGACAAAGAAAATGAGCCGGAAATCAAAAATGATGAAACAGATTCAAGCAAAGTGGTCGAAATTGAGACGGTGGAAGTTTTGTACGAACCAGTTAATAAGAAGCAAGTGGAAGTTGAATTGGTAAGGAATGTGTGTTTTGGAAACTAACAACCTGAATTGGAATGTTTTGGAATGCAGCACTCTTACTAACCCATCGCATAAATGTTTTGTCTTCAATTTAATTGAGGTGAACAAAAACCTACTGGAATGTTCATCAGTTTTGGTTCTGGGGAAAATTGGGTCCAGAGTTTCAAGTTGAAGCTAAAAGAAACTCTTTCAACAGGTGCGAATTCTCATCATTTTTCCAACTGCCGTTCAAAGTTGCTTTACATCTATTTCATCCAAAACAATCCTCTAGAAATAATTGATTAACCCTTTACCCAACTGAGAATGTGCAATTTCTCCACAACCTTGCCGCATGAAATTCTCAAGTTACAAGGTTACAATTACCAATCAATCTAGTGAAAATCGAAAAAAACATCGGATTAAGGCCAGAGGATTTGATTCCACCCGTGTGACACCAACCAACCAACTAACAGGCTTAAGTATTTGTTTACCTCTGACCTAAATCGGAGGAAATCCGATAGTCATGATTATCCATAGTTAATTTTTTCGAAATCGTTGGCTACTGATTACCACACTGGTTTGATTATTGCATTCTTCGTTTGTGATTTAAATCAGCATCTTGATCACGTTTCTGATGTGAAGATTTACCAAGTATGTGCCTGGGAAAGGAAATCTCTTCCTGAAAAAATAATGAGCTTACCGCCTGTCCGGCAGCTTTATTGCAGCAATTGGCGAATGAATTTCACAAGAAACAGTCAACAAATCCTTTGTTTTCTGCTGCTTTGCAGGCACAAAACTGATTTTTCTAGCCCATCAAGTTGCCGCCGAACTTCGAGAAAAAAGGTGTTTCAAATTAATGTGGGCAGAAAACTTCAAAGTTCCGCTCGCTACAAAGCGTTTTCGATGATTTGCATGAGTTGCAGTTTGTTAACAAGCTTTGCGGTTGTAGGTCACATTTAATGAGATAACAAAACATTAAACGCCCTATAAACTTGGAAGCCTTCCAAAGTTCGTTTGTCTAATTAAGTGCAACTCATTAGGGAACTTTCGGGCTAAAGCCGGTAAACGAAAACTTGTCGAGGAGGTTTCTATACTGAGGAAAAAGGATATTAAAAGATTGGCAACCATCCTTTTTAATGAGGATATATTTTTAGGTTTTAAAATGGTTTTGAAATTACAAATGTAAATTGGGGTTCCTCAATTAAATTGGGGTTTTTCACGTAGCTCATGCTCTAAAAAATAGGCATTTTAGGTCTTTTTCGGCAATACATGGTTTAACGACTTTAGAAACTTGATCATTAATTTGCGACGTCAAATTTCCACTGCTTTTAAGGTTCATACCCTACTCTTAAAAAATGTAATTCAAATATCTTATTTAATCCGGTTTCAAATGGTCAATAAAACAATGAACTTTCTTATGATACTCATATGTATCGGATGCTAATTAAGTCCAGTGTTTCTGGCCTTGCATTTCGTACTGTTTGGGTTATGTAGACACCGCTTTTATTACTGAACACAGACCTTGCAATTTTTAGCAAACCTCGGGTTCAGTTTCTGCTAATGGAATCAAGTGTTGGATTTCGCAGGTTTTATGATACCGGAAGTCTTCTACGGTTGATCGAGGATTCAATGGAGTTATTCATATTGGGCAAGTTTTCCTTGCTTGTTCTGATTCTTCGTTATTCAGCATGCTATTAAATATACATACTTTCAATTAGAAGGCGTGATCAAAAAAGTCTTCATAGGAAAGCCTCCTTTAGGACGCATATGCAGGGTTTAATCCAGGAAAACTTTTCAGTTTAAATCCCCATTAATTTCGATGCTCGTTTTCACTGTCTCATTTCTCTTGGTGCAAGAAAGGCGCTACTGCAGCTACTTGTAGTTACTGAAACTACTCATAATTCATGGACATTAAACTCCTGTTAATGGGCTTATCGTGAATGCACTTAGTCTACTGAAATAGAACGATTTGGCTTTGTAAATTAAGGTACAAATTCAATATTTACTTTCACTTCATGCCGTTTTGTCAGCGTGGCGACTTTTGAACTGGAATATATTCCGCATTGTATGGGAAAGTGTAATTTGCCTTAGCAATCGGAGTTTTAAGTCCAAATATAATCGCGTTTGATGGTTATATTGGAAGTTCTAGTGAAAATCCATAGATATTGGATGATTCATTATTAATGAGCAATTTCTCTACTGGAAGCTTTCATTTGGTGCACTTGCAAATGATTATTTTTCCCCATTTCTGTTGAGTGCACTTGGCGGGTCTAATATTCTTTATCATCGATTTTTCTGTAACATTTTGCCACGATTTGAGAAAATTGGAAAAAAGCTGGCAGCAATTTTCTGTTAAAAACACTCTTTTGATATTAGACGATTTATTGGATTTCTTCAATAAGTCGTGGGCAAAAAAACCAACATAAAGAAGCCTATCTGAAAAAACCGAAAGACTAGAAGACAAGTTTATCGCTTTAATTTACCAGTTGCATTAGGACATTAATTTTCATGTCGTCACCTTGTATTTTTTTATGTATAAGAAGCGCCCTTCTTCCTTGAATCTAAATATTAATTTTTTTGATTTTTGACTACATATATCGAAATGAACGTCTAAAACAAAGTCTAGAAGAAAATGATAACGGACATTTCTATTTCAACGTGGAACGCTTTAATAGCAAAAATATTGTTGAAGAGTTAACATCTGCATCTTCGGCGAATCAAATGAAAAGAAACGGACCTATAAAACATTTGTAAGTGTTGACTGAGTAAACCAATGGATTATTTTTGTTTACAGTCATTGACCCATTTTCCCCAATTTTATCTGTTGTTGAAAAAAATCAGCGCTTAAACTATTTGACGCATTTCAGTTGAATTTCTATCTGCCTTTAAAATAAAGCGTTTATCTTAGAGAAGCTCGTGTGTTTGAACGATCTAAATGACACACGTTGTTCGTTACATTTTTCCAGTCTGTCCCGTCTAAAGCACATGAATAAAAGATCATCCTTTTAAATCTGCCAGTACCCTTAATCCAACACCTGGCTGGATTAAGATAAAACACATTATCTCATCCGCTTATCAAATAGGACCGGCGGCTCAATTCACCCAGTAAACCATTTGGCTCATATCCACTCTATCGCGAATACCTGCAGTACCCATACGCCTTACCCGCCATTCTTGCAGATTTTGCAGACTCTGCTGCATCAGCAGTATGCAACAACTATTAACCACGACCTCTTCTTCGTACTTAGTTTAGCAAAGGCCGTTTCGTGAAGAGCAAGCAGCAAGTCAGTGACTTCTTGACTAAGTTTCCCGGTATAGCACCGTGTCTGTGCCTCTTACATAGTTCTAAGATACTTGTTTATCTTTTATCTAATGAACTACATATTTTCGAACAATAACAGTCGTACTCGTTAGTGATAAAACAACCAGACTGGCTAGCAGGATTGTTACAAAATGATCGGCCAGATTCATTCGCGTGTGTTAAAATTGCTAAATATTCGGTATTTGTGTTGAGTTTTCCAGGCAAAATCTGAAGAGATTTGTCACATAAGTCGTCGCGACGCGTGCCGCCAAGGTTTGTAATCGGCGTCGGTTTTCCCAGTGTCTCGCTGCTTGTGGATTTGGCCGAGTCACATTCGGGCTCTGGAAAGCGAATTGTTCGAAAATGTGAAAAGGGTTGTTTTTGTGACTCTCACTCAGGAAGGATTGATTTATCAGTGTGGATTTTTACGTAAGTTTTGTCAGTGAAAAAGCCTCATTTAGCATTGAAAATTTTATTTGATTGAAAACTCCGAAGAGGAATTTTCTATTTGGATGAATTAATCAGATGCATCTGATCTGGAAATATTTAGTCATGATCAAGCTGATAAATAACATGTGTCTAGTTTCCGTAATTTTGCTAACAACATCCCCCGAGAAAATTCAATCAGAAAACTGTAACTTCAGTTCAAAGTAAACATTGACCAACATCTGAGCTTCATAAATAACTTAATACAAGACAGAATTTTGTCAAAAATCGTCAAAAAATATATTGAATTCGAACCGATTTATCCATAGTTGTAGTTGCTCGAATGAATGTTTGCACAACTAGGCGATGGTTCCAATAAAATCACGATTTCCAGTGGGATTTTGATAAATTCGTGGTTGAGATGCCAGAATAATTGTGTAAGAATTCTATTTTTACTTAAATAATTATTGTGTTATTCCAGAATTCTTAATTGGATGCGATTTGTTCAAGTAATAAATACCACCTAACACAAAAAGCCTTTTGCGTTTAGCCGCTTGTTTTGTTCATGTATGTTTAATAAATAAATGTTTCAAATGCCCTAAAACCTATTAATTTTTAAAGAAAGGAACTATTTTAATTGCTGCGTTTGTTCTCACTAAATTTTTCGTTGGAAGATTAAAACATTAATAATTTTCTCATGTTTCGATCAAATTTTGGATTTGTTTTCAACATTTAAATATTTGGCCTTTATTTCAAAATTTCCTTCAACGAACGAATTCAATCTATTTTATAATCCTTGAGTTTTGCAAGTCTATATTATAAAACGTCGGGAAAATTATCTACGCACTTTTAACCAATTATGCAATTCACTATTAAGAGCAATTTCATTTTTCTCTTCACTAGATTTGCAATAAATTCGCCATGTCAGTTCAATGTTGTTGCATATAAACACTTCGCCATGTCAGTTCTTGCTGTAAAATATTTTGAATAAATGTAATGTGTGCGAATTTCTTTCCTTTATTTATAACACGCTTTGTTCATTCATTTAATACAGTTTCTATAACATTTTGAATATCTGCTATTTCATATTTTTATTTATGGCAAAATCTTCAATTGTTTCCTCCTTCTTGTTAATTTATTATCCTAGATCCTCCCGAACCTATTTCGTATGAAATATTGACGTTTATGAAAATAAATCTCCCCAGCGTGTACTACACGCTGGTTGTTTTACGATGTCGTTTAAAATTTATCGTCAATGAGCTCCGAATAGAATTATCGACAATTTATT